CCCCAAAACCCCAAAACCCCAAAACCCCAAAACCCCAAAACCCCTTTAAATAGATTATAATTTGAATTAAATATGAATAAGAGATCAAGCAACAGACAGTTCATGAAAATGAGCATGCCTAATATTACTTTCTTGAAGAATATGACTACAAGGAATATCTCTACCAGAAAACCGAGCAGAAAATAGTGAGAAGAGCTTAAATAGGAACAAGAGTACTTCTCAGAGATCTCTTACCAATAATTTTCGAAAAATTAATAAATCTAAAAATCAATCATCAGGCTCTAAGCATGGGAAGACCAATAGACTTCTTCAGAATTCTAAGAGGAAGTTTCAGGTTGGATCAAATGAGTCAAGTTTTAACAGACTTAAAGACATAGATACCTCCGCAATTAGCTCAATGGTATATAAAATAGGGACAAAAAATGCAAAATAAGGTTGGTTCTACATCAAATAATCCACTTTCTCCCCGAAATTCCAATAATTTTCAGAGATACTTGATGTCTGCCGAGAGACAGAGCAATATTAGGAAAAGCTCTAAACTGCTGAAATCTTATTATGGCGAAGCTAAAAATATGAAGCCAATCAAAAGTTCGAGAGAGAGCTTAAGCAGCACAGCGAGAAGTAATGCAAGAGGAATGAGTAAATCCAGGAAATCTCTAAAACATTCCCTCACTAGTAACTTATTTTCATGACTTTTAGGACAATATTTGACAAAAAGCAAAGGACAAGGAACCAAGAAGAAGATGAATTTATCTAATTTAATGAATAATAGAAGAATGAATAACCATAGAAGTCGTGCATCTAATAATCTGACTTGCTTTAAATCCTCGAATACAAATAAATCAACAAGCTCAAAAAGGCTGAAGAGACAACATAGTAATAGAAGTAGTGCAAATATTTCACAGACAAGTCAGAAATCACTAAAGAGGAAGAAACCAAAAATAGACAATCTTCAGAAGAAAATTACTGCAGCTATTGGAGAAAAGAGCCACGTCTCTACTTCATCTAATGTTTCTCCTCGGAACCAGCCAAAAGGAAAGCTTGAGTTAAAGAATCAGGTTTGTATGAACCCTAAGTTCAAATAAGTACCTCGAAAAGAGGATTCAGAAGAAAGTGCTAATGAAGCCTAAATCTCCAGTGATTTCTAATATAAAGAAGAACTCAGTTGCTCCTACTCGGAATAGAGCTAATTTGAATCAATATCTAAGCAACCTACAGTCAAGTAGGAACGATAAGAGGAAGTCATTGGTAAAAAGCAGGGAGTCGCACTTATCCAATCCTCAGCAGCCAAGTGGAACTCCGTTGCAGAAGCCCAAATTCCCAATGTCTTCCTCCCAAGCTCTCAAGTTTTATAGGAAGGAGATGAGTGAGCATGAGATGGGAGAGATTTTAGACTTCAAAACTATATATTACTTAGGCCAAAATTCTGATAAAATTCAGGCCAGTGTCCTTAAAAGTCCGAATTACGGGTATGACGATAAGAATGGTGACTACAAAGTTGTCCTTAATGACCACATCGCCTACAGGTATCAAGTTGTAGACTCAGGTAATTCCTCTGCTACCATTCTTGGAAAGGGCAGTTTCGGTCAAGCCTTAAAATGATACGATTGAAAGGAGAACAAACTTGTCTGCCTAAAAATAATTAAAAGTGAGAAGAGATTCTTTAAGCAAGGCTTAATAGAGGTTAAAATTCTCAAATACCTCAACGAAGCAGGACCAGATGAGATGCACAATGGTGTATCAATGGAAGAATCCTTCCTCTTCAGGAACCATCTGTGTATTGTCTTTGAACTTTTGAGTATAAATCTTTATGAGTTTTTAAAATAAGAATAACTTTTCAGGTGTCTCTCTTGGCTTAGTCAAGAGATTTGCTGTTCAACTACTCATGTGACTCGAGTTCTTGGAAGAGAATAAGATTATACACTGAGACCTGAAACCAGAGAATATCATGCTTGTCAAAGAGGACAGGTCGAAGCTAAAAGTCATTGATTTTGGAAGTGGCTGATTTGAATCTGAAAGGATGTACACCTACATTCAATCTAGATTTTATCGATCACCTGAGGTTATATTGGGTATTCCTTACACCACAGCTATTGATATGTGGAGCCTGGGTTGTATTCTATGCGAGCTTCTGATTGGGTATCCTATCTTTCCTGGGCAGAACGAGTTTGAGCAGATGTCACGAATAATGGAAATTCTTGATGTACCTCCTAAGGAGGTACTTGAAATTTCGCCTCGGAAAGAATATTTCTTTGATGAGAAAGACAAGCCAATCCTGAAGCCTAACTCGAAGGGGAAGACCAGGTACCCGAATACCCTTGACTTAGGGGAGATACTAGGAGTGGAGGATCCTATCTTCATGGATTTCTTGCTTGGAACTCTTGATTGGAACCCTAAAACTAGAGTCAAACCTATTGATGCTCTCCAGCATGAATGGATCGCTCAAGATTTTCCTCCTCACTTATTTATCAGGGAAAATTAAAATTTGACCTAATTTTCAATATACGAGGATGTTTGGGGTTTTGGGGTTTTGGGGTTTTGGGGTTTTGGGGTTTTGGGG